TTGATGGATGATGGATGGAATGATGGATGGATGGATGGATGGATGGATGGATGGATGGATGGATGGATGGATGGATGGATGGATGATGGATGGATGGATGGATGGATTATGGATGGATGGATGGATGATGGATGGATGGGTGATTCATAGAACATCTTCCTTGGATGTGACAAAATGAAACCACATTTATTTTTACCTTTACATTGTCTTTCAAGCTCACTGTGGAAAAAACAAAGAATGCTAAAATAAATAATCAGAACCATTATGCCACCAGGGCAGAGCTTATTAGCCACTGGCAGCAGGTGGAGTGTAAGACAAGAAAGGGAGCGAAGGTTTGCCTCTGTCCCATAAATCCAGCAGGGACAAACAGGAGGAATGAGGATGGACAGCAGGAGAAGGTTTAAAGGAAGCGACTGTGGTTCTGCTCAGCCCTAAAGTCCTGAACAAACACAGTTTTGCTTCTGATCTGAATGAATATCAGGTCCTAAGAAGACGTGACGCTGATTGATCATCAACAGAGAATAGGGATAAACACAGGCGACATGATTTACTGCAGAGGGGGGTTACGGACTGAGATTGTCTCCAGGTCTATTTTATTTCACTTGTGTCGGATTAAACCTGGTTTCTCAGGCTGCTTAAGTGGAGCGTGTTGCTTATTAGCAGCGGCCTGTCCAGACAAGGTGTGAACTAATCAGAGGAACATCAGCAGGAATGTCTCTGCTCAGTGTAATTAGATTCTTCCAGCTGAGACCCGCATGTTTCATCCAAGGCAATCACAGGTATTTAAAGGATGACTGACAGCAGGAGGAGAGGATCTCCTGTTCTAATGAGATCCGCTGAAGGCGGGCTCCTTTATCCTGCCAGCGTCCTGATACAGCTGGAACCAGCTGGAACCGGCTGGAACCAGCAGGAACCGGCTGGAACCAGCTGGAAACGGCTGGAACCGGCTGGAATCAGACAGAAATCAGACAGGAATCGGCTGGAACCAGACAGAACCCAAAACCATAGAGTGGAATAAGAGCTTCGCTGGTTTTATTTTGATCATCAGAGCTGAAAGAAAGTTCAAAGATTAACATTCAATTAAAGAAGAACAGAAGATACTGTAGAGAGATGAGGGGACATCCCACTAATTGATGTCCAAGAAGTGGACGTTCCAGGAACTGATGTTCTAGAAGTGGATGTCCTAAAAATGGATGTCCTAGAAGTGGACATCCCACTGATTGATGTCCTAGAAATGGATGTCCTAGAAGTGGACATCCCAGGAACTGATGTTCTAGAAATGGATGTCCTAGAAGTGGACATCCCAGGAACTGATGCCCTAGAAATGGATGTCCTAGAAGTGGACATCCCAGGAACTGATGTCCTAGAAATGGATGTCCTACAAGTGGACATCCCACTGATTGATGTCCTAGAAATGGATGTCCTAGAAGTGGACATCCCAGGAACTGATGTCCTAGAAATGGATGTCCTAGAAGTGGACATCCCAGGAACTGATGTCCTAGAAATGGATGTCCTAGAAGTGGACATCCCAGGAACTGATGTCCTAGAAATGGATGTCCTAGAAGTGGACATCCCACTGATTGATGTCCTAGAAATGGATGTCCTAGAAGTGGACATCCCAGGAACTGATGTCCTAGAAATGGATGTCCTAGAAGTGGACATCCCATTAACTGGTGTCCTAGAAATAGATGTCCTAGAAGTGGACATCCCAGGAACTGATGTCCTAGAAATGGATGTCCTAGAAGTGGACGTCTCCCAGGAACTGATGTTCTATAAGTGGATGTCCTAGAAGTGGACTTCTTAGAACTGGACATCCCATTAACTGATGTCCTAGAAGTGGATGTCTTAGAAGTGGACATCCCAGGAACTGATGTCCTAGAAATGGATGTCCTAGAAGTGGACATCCCAGGAACTGATGTCCTAGAAAATGATGTCCTAGAAGTGGATGTCTCCCAGGAACTGATGTTCTATAAGTGGATGTCCTAGCAGTGGACTTCTTAGAACTGGACATCCCATTAACTGATGTCCTAGAAGTGGATGTCTTAGAAGTGGACATCCCAGGAGCTGATGTCCTAGAAATGGATGTCTTAGAACTGGACATCCCATTAACTGATGTCCTAGAAGTGGATGTCTTAGAACTGGACATCCCATTAACTGATGTCCTAGAAGTGGATGTCTTAGAAGTGGACATCCCAGGAACTGATGTCCTAGAAATGGATGTCCTAGAAGTGGACGTCTCCCAGGAACTGATGTTCTATAAGTGGATGTCCTAGAAGTGGACTTCTTAGAACTGGACATCCCATTAACTGATGTCCTAGAAGTGGATGTCTTAGAAGTGGACATCCCAGGAACTGATGTCCTAGAAATGGATGTCTTAGAACTGGACATCCCATTAACTGATGTCCTAGAAGTGGATGTCTTAGAACTGGACATCCCATTAACTGATGTCCTAGAAGTGGATGTCTTAGAAGTGGACATCCCAGGAACTGATGTCCTAGAAATGGATGTCTTAGAAGTGGCAGTCTCCCAGGAACTGATGTTCTAGAAGTGGATGTCCTAGAAGTTGACTTCTTAGAACTGGACATCCCATTAACTGGTGTCCTAGAAGTGGATGTCTTAGAAGTGGACGTCCCAGGAACTGATGTTCTAGAAGTGGATGTCCTAGAAATGGACGTCCATAGGATCGATGTCCCAGTACTGAAGTGTGGACGTCTCACATCCCTAATGTGGTGAGCAAAGGGTGAACGTCCTAGTAGTGGATGTCTCAGCAGATTTAGCCAAAGGTCAGATAGTTAGATTGAGGTCAAAGGTTAAAGGTCACAGGGTCAGGAATTTGTCCACCCAAATGATAATGCTGCTGCTCTCCTGTAAGGAAGGAATAGATGAAACTAAAACACCTCAACACCTTCATCACCACCTTCAGCATGATGTGATCATCATCATCATCATCATCATCATCATCATCATCATCATCATCATCATCATCATCGTGGTTTTCTGGAAGCCTGTAGAATCTGACAGTAGTGAAACAGAACCCAGCTATGAGCTGGTTCTGATTCTGGGAAATTCGGTGGCTGCGCTGATCTGATCTTTAGATTCTCCTTCGTTTGGTTCCCCCACATGCTTCCTGCACAGATGTTACTTCCTGGACCAATGGTTGGACGCCATCCAGTCGTCATGGTGTTTACAGAAGGTCCTGATGGGGTCCGGCAGTGGGAATGGGTTGATCGGGTTTTATTGGGTTTGTTTGGCTGGAGAAAGGAGATGTTTTTTTTATTGCTGTTTCTACACATGTCTATCTCCTGTGAAGTTCTGATCCGTGTCCTAACTCCCCCCCTGCAGACCTCCTGTCCCCCTCCACCATGAGTGACATCTACGAGTCGGCGGCCAACTCTCTGGGCCTCTTCAGCAGCCCCTGCCTCACCAAGGTGGAGCTGAGACTGACCTGCAAAGGGATCTCAGACCGAGATGCTCTGTCCAAACCGGACCCCTGCATCATCCTCAAGATGCAGTCCCACGGGCAGTGGATGGAGGTGGGTCACCATGGTAACGGCTGCGGGTTTCTCATGCTATTAATTAGCTGAGATGTTTCTGTTCTCGTTCCAGAAACGTTGTGGTTAGGCTGCAACATCCTCTGGTTTTAAGAGGTTTTTGTTAAAATTCTTCATCTTATTATTAAACCTGATTTATTTCTCCCCGTCCTTCTGAGCTGGTGCTTCTTTTTAGCATTTAGCTTTATCATTAGGGACAAATGGATGAATTTACTTCACATATTCCTGTTTTCATCTATGACCTTAAACAGGTTTGATGAAACTCATTTAACTTACAACTGAATTTCTCGTTAGAAGAATCCTGCAGAAAATCCAGTTTAGTTCATCTATATTTAATCATATTCAGTTTATTTAAGTTCCAAGTAATTTAGTTCACTTTGCTTTAAAGGAAAAGTCTGGTTAGCAAGAAATAATCAATCTATACCTAAAACTAATACCTTTGCAGTGATTTAATTTCATTAATGAATTGCGGGTTAATCAGTAAAAGTTTTTTTGTGTGGTAAGCCTAGCGCACCGTGACCAGGGCTAACGTAAGCGCTGGCTGCTGCAAAGGGGCTATTGTTAGCGCGGGCTGCTGCAGACGGGCCAACGTTAGCGCTGGCTGCTGCAGACAGGCTAACGTTAGCGCTGGCTGCTGTATACGGACTAACGTAAGCGCTGGCTGCCGCAGACGGGTTAACGTTAGCACTGGCTGACGCAGAGGGGCTAACGTTAGTCCTGGCTGCTGCAGACGGCCTAACGTTAGCCCTTGCTGCCGCATAGGGGCTAACGTTAGCGCTGGCTGCTGTAGACGGGCTAACGTAAGCGCTGGCTGCCGCAGACGGGTTAACGTTAGCACTGGCTGACGCAGAGAGGCTAACGTTAGTCCTGGCTGCTGCAGACGGCCTAACGTTAGCCCTTGCTGCCGCATAGGGGCTAACGTTAGCGCTGGCTGCTGTAGACAGGCTAACGTAAGCGCTGGCTGCTGTAGACGGGCTAACGTTAGCGCTGGCTGCTGTAGACGGGCTAACGTAAGTGCTGGCTGCTGCAGACGGGGTAACCTTAGCACTGGCTGCTGCAGAGGGGTGACGTTAGCCCTGGCTGCTGCAGACGGGCTAACGTTAGCCCTGGCTGCTGTAGATGGGCTAACGTAAGTGCTGGCTGCTGCAGACGGGTTAACCTTAGCACTGGCTGCCGCAGAGGGGCTAACGTTAGCCCTGGCTGCTGCAGACGGGCTAATGTTAGCGCTGGCTGCGGTTAGCCTCAGAGGTCTGCTAGTTGCTGCGGTCGTCTCAACATCAGGAAGTTTTTTAAATTACACATTAAATCAATAAATGTTCCATATAGTGAAGCTTAAAGTATAATATTCTCGCCTCAAATGATCTTAAAACGTACTTTTATTGAACTGCAGCAAAATTCAATTCAATTCAATTCAGTTTATTTCTATAGCTCCAATTCACATCATGTCATCTCAGGTCACTTTCCAGTTCACCAGATCATCCAGTCAGATTGGTTCAAAGTTTTCTATCTAAGGAAAACCAGCTGACTGCATCGACTCATTGACTCTTCAGCAATCCCTCACACTAAGCATGCTTGTAGCGACAGTGGAGAGGAAAAACTCCCTTTGAACAGGAAGAAACCTTCAGCAAAACCAGGCTCAGTGTGAGCGGCCATCTGCTGAGGCCCACTGGGGTTCAAGGAGACAGAAGCAGACATAGAAAAAGAAGCATAGATACAAAAAGCAGCTGTTAAAGTAATACCTAATAGAATATCTTCAGAACGTCTCCAAATGACACAAAACTCATATGGATGAGTAGAACATGATGTAATAACGTAAAATCAAGGGACCAATGTTAAAAAAATGGCGTTCCCTTTTAACACTCTGAGCTCTGTGAGCGCTAACCTGGAAGCTGCCGCAGTGCATGCTGGGACAGCTGTCAGTCTGGAGAACAGACAAGTCTGCTCTGATGCATGCTGGGTAAAGATGGAGGGGCCAGAACAACACCTGGGGACTTTGTCCGTTCTCTGTCTTCTTGTTCTTGTGAATTGGAACAGCACTAGGGCTGAGGATGATGACGTTTCACGAGCACATGAGAACGCACCAGTACACGTATTGAGAAACGTCTTGTTGTCCACTGTTTCTGGTCTGCAGATTTTTCAGCGTTCTGCTGCTGAATTTTTTTTTCCAGATGTGGTTCTTTGTGTCTCAAATATGCAGCGTTTGGATTCTTCTAATTTCTGTCTCTATTTTTTGGGTTAAAACCCACCCTGAACAAACTGGGTCAGAACTCCTGATAGGATGATAAAAGCTCACTTGTGTTTGTTTATTGAATGATTTCATCCAAACAAAGGCGTCCTGCAGGACTCCATCAAGCCGCTGCTTTGTGCTGATTAATGTCAGAAAGCATTTTCATTGATCTGTTCTTTGCCTCCTCGCCACCTTCTGTCACATTAACGTCATCGCCGCTGATTTAGAGGATGTTGACGGTTTTTCAGCTGCAGAAACATCCATCCTGCTGCTCGTCTTTTCCTGCCGCTGGAGATCGATCAGGTTAAACCTCCAGCCTGTTCTGCTGCTGAGCTGAACTCTGAGCCTGAAGCTCCACAGAGAAGAGCTACTTCTCCTCCTTCCAACCTTCACGTTTTCTGGAATAAAAACCTTTTATGTGGGATCGGAAACCAATAAAGTCAGTTATGAACAATGCTGTCCTGTGTTTCTATTGGTTCAGTCTATTGGTTCAGTCTATTGGTTCATCTATCATGTGTGTGAGAAAAGCCTCTAAGGGTAAAACCCACAGAACCAGAACAGAATTAAATTCTATTCAGTTTATTTCTATAGCTCCAATTCACATCATATCATCTCAGGTCACTTTCCAGTTCACCAGATCATCCAGTCAGATTGATTCAAAGTTTTCTATCTAAGGAAAACCAGCTGATTGCATCGACTCATTGACTCTTCAGCAATCCCTCACACTAAGCATGCTTGTAGCGACAGTGGAGAGGAAAAACTCCCTTTGAACAGGAAGAAACCTCCAGCAGAACCAGGCTCAGTGTGAGCGGCCATCTGCTGAGGCCCACTGGGGTTCAAGGAGACAGAAGCAGACATAGAAAAAGAAGCATAGATACAAAAGGCAACTGTCAACCAGCTCCACAGGCGGCCCCGTCCAGGAAACACACAGCCAGGCAGACGAGCTCCGAGCCAGCTCCCATGTCAGAGGATGAAGAGAGCACATCCAGTTAGTCACAGTCAGAGAAACAGGACTACACTGGAAAACAGGCCAAGCTCCAACATCTAGAAACAAAGGTGTTGATGGCAGCAGCACAGCTGATATTTCTCTCCAGGATGGAGTCACAGCAAGTCTTTATTCCAGAGATGTTCCTAAATCTCCTCATCACCTCCTCTCCCAATTTATGACTCTGCAAAGATTCTGGTTTGGTTTCCAGCTAAGAGGTGGGTTTGTTCCAGGTGAGCTCGACAGAATCAGAAGCTGATTGGCTGTTTGTCTGATGTTTATATTTAGTCACTCTGGGTCCCAAATACTTAAAAAGATCAGAGGAAATCAGCCATCAGCTGGAGCGTCTCTGCAGTTCAGGTTCTGACGGGTCTCTGATCCTTTTCTGTATCCTGGCTGCAGAGATGCTGCTGGCCGATGGAAGCAGCCAGTAAGGGACGGCGGGGGACAGGTAACCAGACATGGACACGCTATCAGCACAGAACATGCATGCGTCATAAGGTCAGGAGGAAGCAGAACCCAGAGGAACCCAAACACGCATCCTGTTGAACTCTGATTCCTCTGTGTGCAGGAATGATGGGAACATGGAGGGAAGCTTTTAGGATGTGCATGATGCTGATTTAATCAGGAGAACCACATGGATCCACAGAACCTGGATCGATTTAAACCCCAGATGTTGTTTTAAACAGAGAAGCCACAGAGGAGCTGCTCACTGGCAGCCATGGTTAGATCGGCCAGTAGGAGAAGAGTTTGCTCTGACTAAACGCGGATGAATTCCTGTCTGGTTTGTGTTTCCGCGCGCCTCATCTATATCTCATGGCAGTGGTAAAGCAGTGAGTTTGACACACTTTACTGAAGCCACTTTATTGACTTATTTATGGTTTAAAAAGTGACTGTAGCAGCAGCAGATGTTCTAATGGCTGTAATTTAAGGCTGCTGCCTTCCTAAAAGCCGCCATTAAAAGCCCTGAGTGACGCCGGAGGCTAAACGTGAAGCTAAGCTGCAATTAAATGCAGCTTTAAACTGTCTTGATCACTAAGAAGAACAAACATAGAAATTCAGAGATCTTCCCTGGATTCAGATTAATCCGGACATGTGAGGATCTACCTTCTCATTCCCGGTCCTGAGTAACGACTTCAGCTCAGACTATCTGGTCAGAAGGTCTGTTTGCTCCATATTTATAGATCAGCTTCCTGCTGTTTATCACCTTACTGTTCTTACTAATTTAATAGATCCAAACAAATATGCTTAATAATATTAGTAATGTTATAAAGTGGTGAACTTTAAAGACTCAAGTTTAAATGTTGTAAATAACATTAAGGGAAATTTTGGGGAAAACTCTTTCACGATCAGTTTCTGTTATTAATACAAACTATTGAGTTAGCAGAAGAAATAAAGTCTTAAAGGAAGCTCGGTGCTTCAGGATAACCTGTTTCAAGGTGCATTGTTGCAGATTTCGAATCCACTACTTTTTCATCCATTTAGTATTAGTTTCCGATTTTTCGGACACTAATCTAAAATGGCGTAATGCTACGTTCACACCTAAAGCAGCAGGAGCAACAAAAACGTGCGTGCTGCTTCATTTTTGATGCCTGTACAAGTTTAGTTATGACGCGCGGATGAAGCATCTTTGCTGCTCTAGCTGCGCGGCCAAAAAGTGGGCGGAGCTACCCTTTCCTTTCTCTGCCTGGAACAATGGCAGCTATATTAGCTGTGATCAGCGGGTAGAAAGTAGTTAGAATCTATGTTGAAGTGAGAAAGTCCTCCTGA